TTTTTTTGTCTTTTTGTGACAGGGTCTTGCTATGCAATTCAGGTTGGCTTTGAGCTCACTTTGTAGCCCACACTGGTCTTGAATTCACAACAATCCTCTTGCCTCAGCCTCCTGAGTTCTGGTATTATAAGCATAAGCCACCATGCCGGGCCCTTCATATTGCTAGTGGTTTCCATCCCTCACCCCACTTCCTAGTATGTGTGTATACCTGTACATACCTCACATACACACACAAAGCCTTGTGGGTGTGTTTGTAGTAGATGTTGGAGAGATGGTTCCATAAAAGCAGCCACAGGCAGCACACTCAGGGCACACTTTGATATTATGAGTGTGGGTGGAGGGGAGGCCTGGAGTAGTCTCTAGCCAGGAGCAGCTGCTTTCTATTTTCTGAGGTCTCCACTAGTTCAGACTCTTAGCCTGGCCAGAAGCAGCCATTGCTGAGCCTCACTTTTCCTGGCTGAAAACAGGAAACCACTGTCCTGATTTTCCCTATCAAGGGGGTTCAGGATGAGGCATTCTGAGTGGCTGTATTAGTTAGCTTTCCTATTACTGGGACAAAATAGCTAACGTTTGCAGTTTAAAGAAGGAGAGGTTTATTTTGCCTTATGGATTCCGTGGGTTCAGTCCAGGGCTGATCAGCTCCAAGGCAGAATGTGGTGGAGGGTCTAGCAGTGGAAAACTGCTGGAAGCAGAGAGAAAAGGGAGGAGCTGGGCACAAGAATATACTCTTTCAGGTCATGCCCCTTAAACCCTACCTTCAAGCAGAGCCCACCTCCTAACAGCACATTCCCCTATGAACTCATCAGTGGCTATTAATCCACAGGTAAGTAGAATGCCTCTATGATCCAGTCACCATCCAAAAACCCCCACTGCTGAATGTGAGACTCTTGGGGGCCGTTTTCTTTTATTAGTGTATGTTTTCAGTACCTAATAAGTACATTCATCTTGGGGAATTGGTACATACACATATCTCATCTTAATTGTTTTTACTTCCCCTTCCCCTTGGGGGACCTTTTAGATCTAAACCATAGCATTGGCCTTCCTGTCCTGGGAGCTGTTGCTGGCATCTGCTCCCACTGCTGAGTCCTGAGTGCAGCAAGGCTGGGGGCTCTTTCTAGCCTGCAGGGCAGGTGGAACTGAGCTCTCTGGACTGAGAAGAAACCATGGAAGAGGTAGCCATAGGAGTGGTGCTGTCCATCCGTGCCTCCTGTGGCTGCCATGGGGGTGGTCCTCCTCTACCCTGACCCACTGGGAACTGCAGCTTCCTCTAGCCAGCTGCTTCCTCTCCTCAGGAGCGTCGCTTGATTTTTCTCTGAGACAAGCCCACTCGTCCAGCAAAATAGAGTCCCTCAGGGTGACAGTTGACTTCCTGAAGGTGCCTCTTGGCCTAAAGAAGCCGGTGCTGAAGGAGGTGGCTGTGGGGCCCCCCAAGAGGCCCCAGCCTGCGGCCCTGGAGCGTTACAAGGCGCGGCGTTCAGACGCCATGGACACCGAGTCCCAGTACTCGGGCTATTCCTACAAGTCAGGCCACTCGCGCAGCTCCCGCAAGCACAGGTGTGTATGTGTGTGGGGATGATGCAGGTGGTAGAGGGAGGGCTGGGGCAGTGCTGGGGTGGTGGGGTGAAGGCTGCTGAAAAGACCCCAACCCTCCCCTTGATTGTGTGCTGTTGCTTCTTGCTGCAGGGACCGCCGGGACCGACACCGCTCTAAGAGCCGAGATGGGAGCCGTGGAGACAAGTCGGTGACAATCCAGGCTCCAGGAGAGCCCCTGCTAGATAATGAGTCCACGCGGGGGGATGAGCGGGTGAGCATCAGCGGGATGAGGTGGTGCATATGGGCGTTTCCAGAATGCCCTTTAGAGGAGCGGGAGGCAGTCGGGAAGGACCAGGAGGGGAAGGGCTTGCAACCCTGGCTCCTTGGACAGAGGCCACATCGGTTGAGGGGCTGTCTGGTTATACTTCCTTTGGCTTAGCATCCCAAGGTACGGCTTTGTTGTGGAACTCAGAGAATTTCAATGAAGTTCCCTTGGGAGACTACAGCCTCTCCTTCCTCACCTCGAGGGGTAGGGCTGGGGAGCCAGAGTAGGAGGGCTGTGGTGGTGGGGGAGGCCTGGGAGTGTGGACAACCTGGGAGTTCTTCCGCCTTCAGGTGTGGGCGCTCCTTTGCCCTCTGGTGTCAGCCTGTGGAACAACATCTCCAGGTCCTAGTGCAAGGAGGCGTGAAGAGTTAGAAGAGGAGAAATGGGAATGGGAGGTGTTAGACTGTGTGGGTGGAGGGAGGACCCTGGGAGAGGATTCTCCAGGACAGGGTGAGCAGATTGCTTTTGTCCTCACCTCTGTGGCCTGTGGTGCCTCTCTGGTAGGGAGGACAGTGGGCGGAACACAGTCTGAAGATTTGAGATGGCACTGTGGTGGCCCAAATCTCATTCCTCTTTTCTTTCTTCTTGGGAGCATCTTGTGGGGCTGGAGACTCTTGTCTCCCTTCTCCTCAGGAGAAATCCCTGTGACTGCCACCGTGAATTCCTGGGTCTTGAGGGAATTGTTCTCTTTCCCTTTCCTAGTCCTTTTCCCTGTGACCTGGCCTTAGGGGTTCTCGAAGTGACCCTGAGATACTCTCAGCTCACCTCTTGTTGGGTTGGAGCCTTGACCCGTGAGAGGGTAGGCGGTGGGTCCAGGAGTCATATGGTGAGAGGGAGACCCAGTTCCTTAATCTGAAAGTGGTCAGCACATCTCTTTTCTACACTCAGATTGGACTCTTCTCCCATCCTTGGAGAGGAGATTCCTCAACCTCCCTAATCACTGGCCCTGCCTGGCCGTGTCCTACTTCCGCACCTCAGTGTCCCAGTCCTGTAGTCCTTGTCCCCTGGGGGTCGGGATAGGACTTGATGTGTTCAGGCTGCCTAGGGAAGGAGAGTGTGGGCAGAGTGGTCTTGGGATTCCTGTGTGGATGCCCGCCAGCCACTGCAGAGAAACAGTGTGAGCAGTCCCCACTGTGAAGGGCACTGGGCACCTCAGCCGGTTCACCCCTTGCCTTCAGGAACAGGTGGCCCTTGTGCTGTGGGCATTCAGCTGGGTCAGCAGTGCTGGCCTCACAGCGATCCACCGTGACCCCGAGTCTGCCCTGTGTCCCCCATGCCCGCCCCTGTACATTCACCTCTCCCCTGCTGGTCCTCGTCTCTGTGCTGCCTTTGTCAGGTCACTCCCTTAATCAGAAACCAGTGGGCGCTCCCCATGCCTGGAGGGTAGGTGCTTATTGCTTAGCCAGGCATTGCTCTCAGCCTCACCATCCTGGGCATGCGGTGCTCTGCTCCTGCTCCTGAGCCCCCAGCTCTCGGCATCCCCTGGGAGCCTCAGTTCATGCATCCTCACCCCAGGTGCTCCCCTTCTGGCTTCTGCTGAAATCAAGCATGCTGCGGAAGCTGGAAGGAACTAAGGATAGTGCTTCTAGAACTTTAATGTTTAATGAAATGTGGGGTGGGTCTGCAGTCTGCAGGTTGAACCAGCGCCCAGGTGCTGCCCGCGCTGTGAGTCACAGAACACAGTTTGAGTAGCCAGCCCTTAGAGATCATTTAGTTCAAAGATTCTCAATCTGGGATGAAATTAGAATCATCTGGGGAGATATTTTTTAAAAAGATTGACAAGCAGATCTCGCTCTGCTGTAATTGGTATCCTTTCCAACTCCCTAGGTGATTCTAATGTGTGCAGCTGGGGTTGGAAGCCACTAATTCAGCCAAGCTTGTTCATGTCACCTCCCGCCTGGGGTCAGCTCAGTTCCCTTTGTTGCCTGGAAGCCTGCCTGTTTTCCCTGGCGAGTCTGTCCCAGGATTCCTGTCACTGCCTGAGCAGCTCCCTTGGCACTTGTCCTGTGCCCTCTGTCCCAAGGGTCTTTGCTGTCTGTGCACATGGTGTTTTCCTCCCTCAGTGGGCAGCTCCTCCTCGAGGGCTGCGGCTCAGGCTGGGACACAGAGTGGAGCTCAGTAAATTTTTTTTTTTTTTTGTCTTTTTGAGAGAGGGTCTCGCTACGCAGTTCAGGCTGGCCTTGAGCTCACTTTGCAGCCCAGGCTGGTCTTGAACTCACTGCAATCCTCCTGCCTCGGCCTCCCGAGTGCTGGGATTACAGGGATGCACCACCATGCCTGGCTTCAGTAAATATTTTGATGGTTGCGTAGTTGTTGATTTTTCTTTCTGCCCTCTCCTTTCCCATTCCTTCCTCTGTCTTCTCTCTGCTCCTTTTTCCCCGTCTCCCTTTCTTCCCTCCCTCCTCTCCTGTCTCTCTTGTTGTGGACCCCTCCTACCTATAGGATGACAACTGGGGAGAAACAACAACAGTAGTCACGGGCACCTCAGAGCACAGCATCTCCCACGATGACCTCACGCGCATTGCCAAGGATATGGAGGACAGTGTCCCGCTGGACTGCTCCCGGCACCTGGGTGTGGCGGCAGGGGCCACTCTGGCGTTGCTGTCTTTCCTCACACCGCTGGCTTTCCTGCTGCTGCCCCCGCTGCTGTGGCGGGATGAGCTGGAGCCATGTGGGACAGCCTGTGAGGGCCTCTTCATCTCTGTGGCCTTCAAGCTGCTCATCCTGCTGCTGGGCAGCTGGGCTCTGTTCTTCCGCCGGCCCAAGGCCTCGCTGCCCCGTGTCTTCGTGCTGCGAGCCCTGCTCATGGTGCTTGTGTTTCTCCTCGTCGTCTCCTACTGGCTCTTCTACGGTGTACGCATCCTGGATGCCCGTGAGCGCAGCTACCAGGGTGTCGTGCAGTTCGCGGTGTCACTGGTGGATGCTCTGCTCTTCGTGCATTACCTGGCCGTGGTCCTGCTGGAACTGCGCCAACTCCAGCCTCAGTTCACGCTCAAGGTTGTGCGCTCCACGGATGGGGCCAGCCGCTTCTACAACGTGGGCCATCTGAGGTACAGTTCCTGGGAGCAGGCGGGATGGGTGCCCTGGAGAAATAGCGGAGAGTGAGATCGGGGGCCTGAGGTGATGGGCTGGCAGGAGTTAAGTACTCTGCACATAGGAGGTTTTCAACAACATTTGCTGCTTAATGGGAAGGTCATTTGTAGTGTTGTGGAGCAAGGTACTGCTGGGAGTGAACAGGTGATTAGAGATCAGGAGTCTTAGAGGAGGAAGGACCAAAGGGGAAGGAGGTATGGGGCATGAACGGGGACTGTTCTGTCCCTTTCTTGGAAGCATAGCTTTTGGTAAGCGCTCAGTGAATGGTCGCTCAGCTGAGCTGGCCAGGGCAGGGCCAGAGGGAGAGATATGAGAGGAGGTGGGAGCATGTCAACTACTGTGCTTGTGAACAGGATCTCCCCCCCGCCACCCCGGCCATCCAGAGTATCAGTGACACCTCTTTGGTCTTGTCACCAGTCTTGGGAGATGCTGAAGGGTGATGAGGGGACCCTTGGCTGGGGACCCAGGCCCACTGCCCTCTTTCCCTGGGCTTCAGCATAGCAGGGAAGAATAGCAGGCCCGGCTCCAAGAAAGGTTAGGAGCCTGGTAAGTAGACATCAGGCTTGAGCCAGGCTTCCCAGAAGCAGCTTGTCCCTGTCGTGTGTCCTCTCCTGCCCTGCCGACCTGCCCTGATGTGTCCCTTCCCCCGCGCCCCTTGTCTGTCCCTCCTCCCTCCCCCTCCTGCCGTCTCCCCCACAGCATCCAGCGCGTGGCAGTGTGGATCCTGGAGAAGTATTACCATGACTTCCCTGTCTACAACCCTGCCCTTCTCAACCTGCCCAAGTCCGTGCTGGCCAAGAAAGTGTCTGGCTTCAAGGTGTATTCTCTCGGAGAGGGTGAGCGGCCCTGCTCCTCCGCCCCTCCCGGCCTCTTCCCAAGCAGGATCCAAGTGCCTTCATTTCTCTTTCTCTCTCACCCTCCTTCCCTTGCTTTTCCTTTCTCTGGCCCATGTCCCGGCCCCCTCTGTTCTGTCATTTCCCTTGACTTCAGGTGGCTGGTCTTAGCTGCTGGTTCTACTTGCTGTCCCTTTAAGCTATGGTGTGTCCCCGATCTGGCTCCTCTGTGTCTGCTCATCAGCCCCGGTCTGAGCCCTTGGGCTCTGTGAGCCGAGAACCTCCTGAACCTGGGAAGAACATGTGCAGGACCCTTGCCCTTCCAGTGCCTTCCTGGTTACTTTCCTGCAGCCTCTACCCAGAGGTGGCCAGGAGGGCTGGGAATGGGAGGTATTGCCGGGTGGTGGGACAGTTTCCTTCTGGACCTGTCAGATTCTGTCTCCAGAGCTCTGGGCCACAACCTGATGTGACCATCCCCTCTATTCTGATCCTGTGCAGAAAACAGCACTAACAACTCCACGGGCCAGTCTCGGGCTGTGATTGCAGCGGCGGCCCGGCGGCGGGACAACAGCCACAATGAGTACTACTACGAAGAAGCAGAGCATGAGCGCAGGGTGCGCAAGCGCAGGGCGAGGTACGCCCCTGCGGAAGGGGAAGCAGGGGTGGTGCTGCCTGTGGGATGAACCGGGACAGGAAGCCCAAGGGACTTCTGGGACTGCTGGAATTAGAAGAGCGGTGAGGATATAGGGTGTATATGCCTTCATTTCCAGTGCTGCCTTACAGGTTGCCATGAACTCAGCAGCTACCAAGCCCTGCACATTTATCATCTCCTGTTCCTTGGCAGAACCGTCTGGTTAGGCCTCACAGGGCAGAAATGATAGCTCTCACCTGAGGCAGGGCGTCTCATCCTAGCGCACTGCCTTTTGCCAGAATCACTTCCTTGTGCCACCCCACATGCCGTTTCCAGTGACTTTTTCCAGCAGGAGCGATCTCTCTCTGACCTCTACCACCAGCCAGAGGAGACTCTGCTTTTAAAGAACCCATGTGAAAGCCGGTGGTGGTGGCGCATGCCTGTAATGCCAACACTTGGGGGTTGAGGCAGGAGCATCACAGAGAATTGGAGGTCAGCTTGGGTTACATAGTGAGTTCAAGGCCAGCCTGAACTATATAGTGAGACCCTGTCCCAAGAAAAGAAACCAAACCAAACCAGCAACAGAAAGAGCTGTGTGATTCGATTAGCTCCAATAGGATAATTTTCCCATTTTAAAGTCAGTGAATGTGGCACATCTATGAACTGTATTGAGATTATTGAAACACAGAGGGATGGGGATCTGGTAAAGGTGAGGGGTTCTTCAATTCTGCCAACGATAGTGGGTTAGGGACTCATAAAGGGACGTGGGCCTCACTGGCAACAGCAGGGACTGAGGCTGGACTAGCTTTTTACTGGGGGATTTTGACACCTAGATCAGCAGATAGAGTTTTTTTTTTTTTTGTCTGCAAAAATGCAGTTCTTGCGTCCATACTTTGGTATATTCCTGAATGTTATGCTTACCCCTCTCCTCCCTGTTCACATTATCTTGTGAACTTACGTCCTGCCTGGAGTCTCGTCTTGACACCTACTGCTGCTGGGCCCCGCGTGCCAGGGTTTCGGGGAGGAGGAGCCGGGAACCTTGGCGTGGCAGGCTTTCCTCTCTTCTAGAAGCAGATGGTCCCCCTGGAGTAGAACGAGGATCACCAGCCCTGTTTCTGTGACATTCCAGGATGAGTCCAGTTATCTCAGAAATGGCCCTTGTGGGGAGGATCCATGGTGGCCCCTACAGCGCGGCTTTCTTCTCATGTGCTGTCACTGTCATTCTTGGCACATGGGGTCCCCCCACCCTCTATTACCTTGCTGTAATTGGGAGATGAAAACTTTTCCCATTGGTTCACCAAAGTTTATCCTTTGGGATAAAGAGATCTTTTCAGAAGGAACTCAACTGAGAAGCTTCGTGCAGCAACAGTAATCCTAGCACTCTGGGAGTCTGAGACAAGAGGATCATAAGTTTGAGCCCCGCCTGGGCAACTTAGGGAGACCCTGTCTCAGAATAAAAAAAATAAAGCAGACTGAGGATTTAGCTCAGTGCAAAGGGCCTGGCTTCACTCTGTAGTACAGAAGAAGAAAAGAAACAAAAGAATTAACTGTTGTAGACTTGTACACATACACATACCCACATGTACTCACCCAGAAGCCCTTCCTAAGCTCCTTGGAGGTCCCTCACTTGTGGACTTTGGCTACTGAGCTGGAGGCCTCGTGTCTTTCCTTGTTCCATCACCTCAGGTCAGTCCTGCTTTTGGGACACGTAGATTTTTTTTTTAATTTTACCAACTCTTTTTTTTTTTTTTTTGTACTAGAAATCAAACTCAGGATCTTGCACTTGCCAGGCAGGCACTGTGCTGCTGAGCTATATCCTTGGCCTGTTTTTTTTTTTTTTAATTTTGAAGAGAGGAAAAATCCCCAATAAAAATGATGCAGAATTTCAAAACAAGATAGAAAATTAACAATGGTTGTTATATTGCATATTGTTATCTTCAGAGTAGTTGCTCTGATTACCAGATATTGGCATGCAAAATTGACCAAACAATATAAGCACCAACTGCTCCTTTCAATGAACTAATAGAGATTAGTAGTACAATTACCTTACCTATCTTGTGTGTGTATTTATATATATGTATATATACATTAAATATTTAAAAAATTTTCCCTTCTTTTCTCCTTTCCTCCATCCCAGTTGTTCTTTCCTGTTGAGCTGTTCCTTTCCTTTTCACAATAACTATTGTATCTTTTGGATTTTATTTACTTTTTCAGGTTTTCCACTAGGAAGACAATATGATATTTATATATGTGGGTCTGATTCATTTCACTTATGAGTATGGTCTCTAGTTGTATCCATTTACCTATAAAAGCCTCAAGTTTATCCTTCTTTATAGCTGAGTAATACTCCATTGTATAAAAATATCACATCTTTTTTATCCATTCCTCAGTGGATGGGCATTTGGGTTTTTTCCAATATTTAACTATTTTTGGACTTCAGGCACAAGAATTGCCTTCTCAGTTCTTAACACACTGCTGTCATGGGTTTCTTCACAGTCCTCTATCCAGTTATTCCTCTCCTCCAATCCCTGTCCTCACTCTGCCCCCATTGTGGGCACCCACTACAGTGTGTTGGATTTTCTTATCTCCAGTGGGGGAACCCTCCCCGGCCCCAGTCCATAGAAGTCCAGCCCTTGGTTCTAGACAGGTGTTGGGGAGAGCACAAATGTCTGACCTTTCTCAGGGTGCTGCTGTCAGAGCCGGTGCACAGGGGTGGTGGGGGATGAGAAATGGGTACCTGGTCCAGATCCTTTCTGTCCTCTAGGCTCGTGGTGGCCGTGGAGGAGGCCTTCACTCACATTAAGCGACTGCAGGAAGAGGAGCAGAAGAACCCTAGGGAGGTGATGGACCCCCGGGAGGCAGCCCAGGCCATCTTTGCATCCATGGCCCGTGCCATGCAGAAGTACCTGCGGACCACCAAGCAGCAGCCTTACCATACCATGGAGAGCATCTTGCAGCACCTTGAATTCTGCATCACGCATGACATGACGCCCAAGGTAGGCCCACTGCTCCTGCATCCTTTCTCTTTGCCCAGCCTCTGCACTTCCTCTTTCCCACCCTTGACCTCTTCTCTCAGTGCTCTCCCTCTCTCCTTCTCCCTCTCTCTTGTCTCTGCCTCCTTCTTATAGTCTCTTCTCATTTCTTCCCCGAAGTTGTGGGTAGTGGATGAGCTGAGGGAGGGCAATACTCAGAAACTGTTTGGGGCTGGCTGAGACCCATTGCTCGGCTTCATAAGGACTTTGGAATTTCCAAATCCAGAGTCCCAGCTTTCCCCACGTGGCCCCCTTGACCTCCACCAGATGATCTTTGACCTGTGCACGCTTTTAACCATTGCCCACTCCTCAGCTCAAATGCCAGCTTCCTAGAGTGCCTTTGGCTGAGTCATCCTCATTGAACAGGTGACTGAAGATGTTGCCCTGGGAGCTTGACCCTCTCCCAGCTCACACCTGCGCGGCACTAACTATACGAGGAAGAGTTTGTCCAGGTCACAGCCTGTGCAAGCAGAGAAAAGGATGAGCGCTAGGGAGCTGAGTTCCAGGCTTTACCCTGGAGCCACATGGCTTCTGTGGGCACTGTCTTCCTCATCTATAGAGCAGTTTCTGCTCTGACACCCTCAGATACTGGTTCATACACATAAATTGAGCTGGGGGACATATCCTTGGACGCCATGCCCCGGGGGTGAAGGATAGTGGGTGACAGTATCCAGGCAGCCCCCTCTCCCCTCTTTAGGCCTTCCTGGAGCGGTACCTGGCGGCCGGACCCACCATCCAGTACCACAAGGAACGCTGGCTGGCTAAACAGTGGACACTGGTGAGCGAGGAGCCGGTGACCAATGGGCTTAAGGATGGCATCGTTTTCCTCTTAAAACGCCAGGACTTCAGCCTGGTGGTTAGCACCAAGAAGGTGCCATTCTTCAAACTCTCCGAGGAATTTGTGGATCCCAAGTCGCACAAGTTTGTCATGAGGCTGCAGTCGGAGACCTCGGTGTGACTGTGCAACAGCAGGGGAGTGGGGGACTCCGGGGCTCTTGTGGGGTGGGAGGGGGCCTGGTTCTCAGGCCCAGCCAAGTTCCCACTGCCCTTCTTCCTCTTGCTCTTGTTTTTTACTTGAATTGACTTACTCCTCACCCTGTCTCCTCCCTCTTCCTCATTTTACCCCATGTGAACCTGGAGAGACCTTCCTGCTGTTGACAGTACCTGGGGGACCTTCCCCTCAGTTTTGTATAACTCCGGGCCCTGCAGGAATCAGTGCCTCTCTCTCTCTCCTTCCCCGCAGATTTCCCCAGATGACAGTGCTTTGTAAAAGGGCACAGGGCCCTCTTGATTGTACCTGTGCCTCCTGAGCCCCACTCACAACCCAAGTTCTGGTAGCATTCTTTCCAGTGGTCCCTGACAGTGTCTCTCGGGGGACACCGGTACGTCCCAGAGAGCCCTGGTGCCAAATTCCGCCAAGGCAGCAGCTACCCTCTCCTACCCATAACAGACTCTTAAGTTGCTGGGCAGAGATGCTCCTGCCACATAGTGCCAGAGTCAGGAGTCTCCCTACCGCACTATTGTTTGCAGCTGCTGTTCCCCATCCACTCATGTTAGAGCAAGGAAAGATCCCGTCCTTTCCCCGGAAGTCTCCACCTGCCGTTTCTGATTGTCCGGTCACACTTGATCCCAGCAATTGGAGGTGGAAAGCTTTTCACCACTTCACCAGGGCCCTGGGGAAGGTCCAGAGAATTGGTCTTTCCTGGACAGCTCCTGGGGGGAAGGGGACAGATCCTTGAGTTGGGAGAGACCCTTGCGTTGATCCCTGCCCTCAGAACCCACCCTGGCTTTGCCTTTGTTCCCACTCCTCCCAGTGAGCAATGGGATGTAGACTCCTGTATAGACTTAGCAGTGTGCCGACCCTAACAGACAGCTTTCCTTCCTGCACCAGCCACCCCAGGCCTGCTGACTTCTCTTGGCTCCAGAGACCTGTTGCCTCATCTCTGTGGGGGAGGAGCTAGCTCCCCCTGTCCCCTGCCTTAAATCCAGTTCTTTGCCTCAGGGGTCTCTTTTCCTTGGCCTTTCAGGGTCCCCTCCTCTCTCTTCCTGCCTGGATCTCTAGGCTCTATACTGGGGTCAGGGACCAAGATTATTGCCTTCTGTGGGCACTTAGCCCCTCACCCCATTTTACTTCCGTAGCTTTGGTACCAAGTCCAAATTCTCAATAGTTTAGATTGTATTCTGAACAAAATTTACTGGCCCACTAATAGGTCTTTTCGGAGTAAATTTGAGCCTTTGAATTGAAACACCTTTAAATTATGTAGTTTTCACCAAGGGGAAAAGAAATAGAAGACACCTATATACATCCTTCCAGGGTCCGTATGGAGGACTGATCTGGTGGCTGGGCTGGAGCCTGTGCCTGGATCAGGTCTCCAAGTAACTCACAGTGCCCCTGAATAGGTCCTTCTTTTTCCTAGAAAATTTACTGGTACTTGCCTTGCAAAGCACACTCTGGGATAAGCTGCCCTTTGATCTCTCCCCTGGGAGGCCGCTTCCTGTCTGTAGGGGAAGTCCGGGGGTGACAGAGCCTAGCAATCGATCAGGGTTTTTCTACTGTCCTTTATGAAAGGGCATTTCTGTCCACCCACCATTCACTAGAGAGGGGTGAGGAGTCCCTCAGCCCGAGCTCATCTTGTCCCCACAGGAGTGGCTTGCAGGGCTGATAAGGCAGAGACTGGGTGGAGGTTAGCCTTGGGCTAGGGCTGGGGGCATCCTTAGATAGGTCTGGGTGAAATGCATCCTGCCTTGGGCGTCCTGGGAAAGCTATCTTTTCTTTAAGAATCTGGTTTCAGAGGAGTCCCTTCTGGGTCACATAAATACCTCACTATCCTGGAGAACAGGGCCTGGATGGTGATTGGGGTCTTTGCCTTGGTGGGCAAGAGTGGGGTGCGGTGTGGTTTGAGGAGTGGGTTGGGGTGGGCAGAAGGAAAGGAATTGGGATCTTAGTTGTTGCCCTAGATTTAGGGGCGGGGGAGTGTTTATTTTAAGAACCTGCCATGTTTTTAATCACTGTGATTTTTTTTCATTCTTTTTTCCTAAAACAAGAGAAATGTTTTTCCCCAACTGTCTCTCTCTCTCTCTAAGCACTAAGGGCTGTGACTGAGAATGGTAGCATTTTGGTCCTTTGCGTCAGAACTGTGGTATCTTTGTCTTCTCTGGTTATTATTATTTTTTTAAAACGTCAGAATGGATCGTCCAGTGTATGTCTGTGTGTGTGCGTGCGTGTGTACCTGTCTTGCTTCTCCTGTATGGGAAGTTGTCTTCATGCTGTGAACTGCTGGGGACGGGCAGCCGACTCAGGCCTCTGAGCTGTGTGCCCACCAGGCCCGTCCCACCGCTCTCTGGGTTTCTCCCTCTCCCCCTGCAGGGGTGTGCCCACCACTGGCAGCCCCCACCACAGGGAATGCTGTGCTGGCTCCCTCCAGCACTCCTGTTTCTCTGACTACGCGGCACCCTAGCTCATCCCCTACTTGGCCTTGGAATGCTTGCCCCCCTTTCCTCCACATTACCACACGGTGCCTCAGTCCTTCACCTACCTCGCCACTCTGCCCCTGTTCCCACTGGCCCCTGTCTGTCTCCTGCACCAGCGTTTGTGTTCCTCTGTTTATTCTGATTTATGTCCCTTTGGTCTCTGACTTCTTCCCATCCCCTCTACTTCATCTCTTGATTTTTTGCTTCCCCTAGCACACTTCCAATATTCCCATTGCAAACCCCAGCACAATACCCGTGAGGAATAGATGCGGGGATCCCTGGAAGCTTTCTCATTGGAAACATCTATTTCCCAGGGTTTGTGCTTCTCGGTTCTGGACCCCGGATGAGCTCCCTTGTCCCTGGTGGTGTCAGTCAGTCTTCTCTTTCCTCTGCCCTCCCCATGGGGCAGTATCTGCTGATAAATTCGAACCTGATGTGTGTGTGTGTGTGTGTGTTGTGATTGTTGTGTGCAAAAGGGGCTTTTTGAGTCCCTTCCAAGTGAGACTGTAAGTGTAGAATTTTCCACTGTTGGACCTAGATATTTTTTTGTTTTGTTTCCATTTTTCTTCTTTCTTTCTTTTTTCTTTTCTTTTTTGGTTACAGAGCTGAGACCTTGTGCATGCATGTAGAAAATTGTAAAATGTAAATTTTTTTTAATATATAAAAAGCTTGTTTTTACAGTTTGCAGTGGATCTAAACATTATGGCAATTTTAGGAATTTTTTTTCTTAAACATAGAAACTGAAACTGTACAAAAATTTTTTTTATATATAAAATAAAGACATTTGACTTTTGTGGGGGCATTCTGTTGCTTTTCTTCTTTCACAGACTAGGAGCAGGAGGTCAGGGGAAGAGGGTTATGTCCCTGTTCGGCAACGAGTAGGCAGCAGGGGGCACTGTGAGCTCAGCTGAGCCTCAAGGCCTCAGGCTGTGTAGTGGGGCAATGTGAACGCAGGACAGGAAATTGCTTGTTCCCAACCCTGATTCTGAGGAGAGGGAAATGTGAGGAGTCATCCACTCCCTGAGGTGGTTGTCAGAATAAGGAGGAAGGCAGGATTACTCTCTGGATACGTCCTGTTGAGCAAGCTTGTATCTGCATGGCCTCTCGGTCAGGGACAGAATGGGGAGTTTCTAAAATGTCTTCTTTCTAAAATGGAAGAGCAGTTCGAAAACTGTCTTGTTTCTAAAACAAGACCCCATAAGCTGCACGGCGTGTTCACGGCCAGGGAATGGATGAGTCCTGGCTGGTTCCAAGGAGCGTGGGAACACATCCTTCCTTCCTTCAAGATAATGAGGGAGTTTAAGACTCAAGATGTGGGAACCTAGTCTCCTTGATTGCTTGTTTGTTTCTGGTACCAGGAATCAGACTCAGGACCTTGTTCTCCCAGGCTCCTTGAGATTAGTTTTGTTCACTTTAGTAGTCTTGGCATGTATACCAGCTCCTCAAATATAGTTGGTGCTCAAGAAAAAAAATGTAGGCCAGGTGTGGCAGTGCACTCCTGTAATGTCAGCACTGAGGCAGGAGGAGCGCCACAAGTTCGAGGCCAGCCTGGGCTACAAAGTGAGTTCAAGGCCAGCCTGAGCTGCATAGTGAAACCCTGTCTCAAGAAAAAAAAAAAATGGATTAAACTATCAGTCCAGTAAGAGAATATCAAGAGGATCACACACTTGCTTATTCTCCCCTTAAGATTGTACTCAGGTCTTATTCACATGAAAACAAAGACACATCCCACACTCATGGTTCTGTCTTTTTGATAACCAGCCTTGTGGAAGAATTGTTTCTATCTGCAGTTTTCACTTCATCTCAGTCAGCTTTTGACTTTCTGTGACCAAATTTCTACCCCAGCATGCCTTTGAAATTACTCTTGAAGTACAATAGATGTCTTAGTACAGTAAGTCTTTGTTCAGTGCCTGTGATGTTTCCAGCCTGGTACTAAGGCGCTTTGGCTGGTAAAGCTATTGGATATGGTCCAGTCCTCACTGAGCAACCTCCGTGGGCCTTTGAGAGTTTGTATGTAACATGGTGGACCCCCCACCCCCACCCCAGTGGATAGATTTAGGGCCAGATCTCAATTTTCTTTAGGGATTTACTGAAAGTAAAAGTGATAATCTTAAGCATTTGTCATGCACTGTGGCATTTGTAACTGTTAGCTGAAAGGGTCCATTATCTGTGGAAGTACCTCAGTACTGTAACCCCAGCACTGGGAGGCTGAGGTGGGAGGATCCCAAGTTCTAGCCCTGCCCGGGGAAGTCAGTTATTTGCTGAGGGCTTGTTTAAAAAAAAAAAAAAAAAAAAAAAGCGCTGAGGATGTAGCTCAGTGCAAAGGCCTTGAATTCAATCCCCAGTACTATGAAAAACAAACAAAACACCAAGTACAACTTTACCTACTTTTAGACATAGATCTAATAGTAACAGTAGTAGTATAGGTACTTGGAATTAGTGGGGGAAAAACCCTAAGGAGGAAATGTATGCTGTTTCTCCTGGATCCCTTAAACTATCACTGTGGGGCTGGGGAATCTGACAAAAACAACTGAAGAGGAAAAGGAGGGTCTCTTGGTCCTATACCACAAGAGCTGAAAATTTGCATGACCGACTTAAATGTGTCAGGAGATAAGGTGGTGTTTTTTTTTTACTTCAAGTTCCTGTTAATGTTAGTTTTCTCTTGTATGAATGTGTGATTTCAGGGTTGGGTAGGCTGGGGTAGTTTTTACTGTAGTGAAGATTGGCTGTTGGAGGGCTGCTTGTCTTCTGCCAGTTTACTTCTATCCTGACACAGTATCTGTCCTGAAAGGCGGAGTCCAGTTACAAAGAAAGCAGGGAAAGCCCATTTCAGGATTTCTTCGTTGTGGACAGTCAATTCATTTTCCAAGACTGGTGTGACCTGTAGTGCTTCTGATTTGGAGCATAGCAAAGAATGCTAGCTTTCTGGTGGTTTTTATTGTGTCTTGAACTAGGTCTCCAAAACAGAGCTTTTCAAATTTCATTTGTGCATGTAGCAAAATGCAGATGTAAAATGCAGACTCTGATTCAGAGAGTGTAAGGGAGGGCCCAAGACTTTTCTCAAACAGGTGCTTGGCATCTTTGTCACCATGACAAAATATCTTAGGCTGGGTGACTGAAACAATGGAAATTCAGTTATTTATTTTTTGCCAGCATCAGATTTATATGTTTATTTTTAAAGTTTTATCAGGCTAAATATAAATGAAGATTAGTATCCTGATTAACAGACCAAAAGTATATAAAACACAGAAAAATGATAATACTAAATGAAGTCACACATTCAGATACGTTGGCCATGTTGTATTACAGTAACTTTTTTTAATTGTCTGCTTTTCTTTTTTTTTTTTTGTACTGGGAATTGAACTCCGGACCTCAAGCTTGCCAGGCAGGCGCTTGTGCCGCTGAGCTATATCCCCAGCCCCCGTTTTTTATTTTGGATTTTATTTGTATATTAGGTTTCTCATCTAAGAGAAACTATGTGGTATTTAAGCTTATATGTCCGATTCGCTTAACATTATGGTCTCCAGGTGCATCCACTTTCCTACAAATAGCTCAAATTTGTCCTTTGTGGCACAATAATACTTCATTATGTTTCTCTTGTTTTTCCTCTGCGATGCATCTGTGCCATCCCACCCTGCCTTGAAACCAGCTGGTCATGGACTGAAACCTCTACAAACTGTGAGCTAAATAAACCTTTTGGGCCTGACACAGAGTTAAATGCAGTGTATAAATACCACATTTTCTTTATCCATTCATCTGTTGATGAACACACAGGCTGCTTTCAGGATTGAGCTGTTAGGAGTTTTGCTGGTGTAAACGTGGGCATGCATGTAGCTCTGTCTTATGATGTCTTTAATGCTTTGGGGAAGACATGTAGAAGGGGAATAGCTGGGTCAAATGGAGTTTCTAGTTTAGTTTTTAGGAATCGCCATACTGATTACCACAGTGGTTTTCACCAGTTTACATTTCTACCAATGATGAAGAAGGGTTCCTTTTTCCATGCAGTTTCTGCAGCATTTGTTATTATATTTGATGTTTTGAAGATAGCCATTCTTTCAGGAGTGAGGTGGAATTTCAGTGAAGAGCAAAAATTTATTTCTTACAGTTTTGGAGGCTAGAAGTGTGAGATCAGGATGCCAGTAGGATTAAAATCTAGGGCTTGCTTCTTGGATTGTCGGTAGCTGCCTTCTTACATTGGGGAAGGGAGGAAGGGGATGGGGAGGGATCGAGATTCAGGTCTCTGACATCTCTTATAAGAGTTTAATACCATCATGAGGGTCTTACTCTGATGACCTAGGTTAACCCTAATTTCCTTTGAAAGGTCCTGTCTCCAAATAACATCAGAATTAGGAGGTTAGGTTTTAACATGCCAGTTTTCTTAGGGGGGACGGTTAATTCTATGGCACTGTATTTAAACATACCAGTTTTTTTGTTTTTTGTGTGTTTTTTCTTTTGCTGCTATTATTCAGCAGACCTACTTTTGAGTAGCGATGCCCTAAAAGAAAGCTTATGTACTGTCGTAGTTACTTTTTCTCATTGTTGGGACAAAATGTCCGACACCCAAAGTTAAAGGAGGAAAGATGTATTTAGGTCACAGTTTAATAGAGGTTTCAGTCCATGATTGGCTGGCTCCAAGGCAGGATGGGATGGCAGAAATGCACTGCAGAGGAGAAACAGTTGATGGCAGGCAGAAGCTAGCAAAGCAAGCAAGAGGGGCTTAGCAGATTCTTTCTGCTCCTTTTATATTCTATCTAGGGTACTGGGCTTAAGGTGAGTGCCAAACCAGTCAGTAGACTGACTTAGAAATTACACACCCTTAAACTCAGCATCACACACTCTAGATCCAGCCACCTCTGAAAAGTCTACCCCCATGGCTGCATGAGGCTTTGGGGTGACATCTAGACACAAGCAATAACATACACCAGACATGCTTTATTTAGTCCAGGATAAGACACTTGATATAAGAGATCAACATTGTGAAGAGATTGCAGTGTCATCAATGTAATAAATAGCTTGGTAAAGTCATTGTTATTCATGCTATAGAATTGTACACCTGTGTCAAATGGTCATTTTATGAGACCTAGATGATGTGAGATGGCTCTATGTGTGGAGCTTAGGCAGAGCATTTCAGTGGACCTCTTAACGGATCCAATGAAACATTTATAATGACACAAATAAGAGCCAAGTTGATAAGCCCTTATCACTAGAAGTCTCAGGAATTAAAGGCACAGCCTACTTTATGAATTATCTCTGGACAGAAATTGCTTGCCAGGGCAATAATAGATCTGAGGAAATGTAGGAGTTCTGCTACATTTAGAGTTTTAGATGCCTTAGTGTACTTCAATATTTAAGTTTTTTTTTTTTTAACCATGGATATAGAATGAAAGTTATCATCACATATCAATATTTTAGAAACATTCTTCCCAAGTTTTTGGCCCACATTGAGATCAGCCTGCAAACTTCAAGACCATATTGATCATGTAGTTGATATTGCATCCTATCTGCATTCAGTGCTTTTCACTTAGTCACTCAACAGATATTTGTTGAGCACTTTCTATGTGCCAGGAGCTAGGGCAAGGGACTGGGGAGATGGCCGTGAAGTGCAGATGTGGTATTAGCTCTCAAGCAGCAGTCAAACTCATCATTTGAAGGTGGTGACTGTAGTGAAAGAGTATAGGACTCTGTAGGACCTTCTGATAGAAAATGTTAACCGGGTGGCTGCCAGGGAAGGTTGCCTTAGGGGGAAAATGTCATATCAACTCCACAGAAA